CTTTCTGGGTGTGGTGGGGTGTTCTACCGCTCCCCCATCCCTTCTCAGCAAGTTCAAATGGGTTCGCATGAGTTTTTGACCCATAGTTACCTCTTTCAGTGGACTGACAGAAAAGATATTTTTATTTCAGGCCCCTGTGCCATCTCCAGGTGCCCAGTACCCAACACACATTTGTCACGTAGTTCTTTGTTGCCCAGAGTTTTGCAAACACTGGCCGTCTAATGAGTGTAATTTAAAAAATTCTTGAACATGCAAACATTTTTGATTTATTTGGTGACTAGACCCTTAACAGGCAGCCTAGCTCTGTGATGGTTTTTTCATCCGTTTGGTTACAGCCAATAAATCACTCCCCATTTTCTCAAGGGCAGCATGGAAAATATTAAAACATGGTCTTGTCTGCCAGAGGTGGGGGCTAGGGCAGTCCTTACATCTGGGTGACTTCTTTTCTAAACTTAAGGTGAATCTGAGGCAAGAACTTGGCCATTTTGAGGTGTGTAACAGGTTTCCCAGGAATGTTTCTGAGGTCTTGTAATTGGCACTTTTTAATAGTCCTGTAATTGAAACCCAGAAGGTTCTCATGGTAATCCTGAAGCACCTTGGGGTCAGTGGGATGGAGGGAAGGTGGAAACAGCAATGGAGTTATGATTTTCCTGCCAAATGAGTTTTGAGAGTGAGTTTATGGAAAGAAGTTAAAATGAAAGAAGAGTTGCCTATTCATGTCACGTTGCTGATACTGCTCACCACAATATTAATTTATTACTCAAGGTTTGCCCATTCAGGAGGCTAGAGGCAGTGTGCTTCTATGAAGCCTGAGGATTAAAACGTCACTGTCCCTTTCATCCTATTTCAAGTTATCTCAGAAAAGTAACACTGCCAGAGACTAAGGAGAAATTGCCCAAGCCACAGCCTGTTGGCTTTTCTGGGGTAAGGAGACTGACAGAAGCCATGATGGGTATTGGTTCCTTGATCACAGCTATAGGAGTTGCTGTTGCTGTTACATGCCGTTGAGTGACACCCGGCTCATAGAGACCCCTCCTTGGGTTTCCGAGGCAGTATCACTACGAAAGTAGATTGCCCAACCTTCCTTCTGAGGAGTGGCTAGTGGGTTTGAACCCCCAACCTTCTGGTTAGCAGTCAAGTGCCTTAGGCACTATGCTAGGGGTAGGGGTGAGGAAAAAACAGTGAGGAACCTGCTTAGCTGCTGATTGGTTGGCCAACTTGTGGTAAGATGTATGATTCATGTTCCTTTTGGTCCTCCAAATGTGTCCAGAGATTTTCTTTTCTTTGAAGTGCTTTTTGAAGTGTTTGGAATCTTAACTCTCTTCAGCAACTGATCTGTGATCTCCATGACCTAAGAATGAAAAGGAGATTTTACTCATGAAACAATTCAGTTGACTTGCTCATGAACCCCACAGAGTTTAAGAAAGGAGGGCAAGAGGTGGCCTGATGAACATAGGGGATCCGAGTTCAAATTTGGACAAAGTTACTGATACAGTTAACGAATCAAGCCTTTATCTCTCTGTCTTTCAAATTACAGTTGCGGAAGACTCAAATGTACTAGATAATTGCTGTCTAGTATTTTGTGACCTCTGAATAAGAAAGCATTATGGCATCAAAAGATAGAACATTTAGACTTTGCTATCTTTCATCCAAACTCCCTTGCTATCTGGGAAAAATGGGAGAGGGGAAGAAAATAGAAATTGGGAAGGGAGAGGAAAGAAAGTGACTTGGAAAAATCTATTTACTTTAATGTAAGCAGGGCTTCAAATTGGTTCGAACCAGTTCAGTCATGGTCGACAAAGTGAAATTGGAACAGACTCGAATTTTGAAAATTTGAGGAGCTCTGGTGGCATAGTGCCTAAAGCATTTGACTGCTAACCAGAGGGCTGGCAGTTCAAAATCACCAGCCACTCCTTGGAAGGAAGATTGGGCAGCCTACTTCCGTAGAGATACCACCTCCGAAACTGAAGGAGGGGTCACTTTGAGTCGGAATTGACTCGACAGCAGTGAGTTTTTTAGAGTTTTTTGAGAATGCTAACTGGAAAGTGAAAAAATTATAGTTTGAAGCCCTGGAATGAGAGACTCAGAAGAGGCATAGTGAGTCCTTTCAGGAGCCTGATACATGGCATTGGATTATTGCCAGGACTGTAGAGGGCAGCACACGTTCAAAGTGGCACGGCACTGTCATCTGCCATCTTTGAGTTGGACACCACTGTTTTCAACTTAACTGGAAAAGAGAGTTGGTTGCTATGCAATGCATACATTGCCCTAGTTTTCTAAGGGAGATTAAATTTCTAGCAAAGCTTCAGTCCACAATCTTTCCTGTTCCAGTTAGCATTCTGGTTTACCCACATTTTAAAAATTTGAGTCCATTCCAGTGTTGCTTTGTTGGCTATGACTGAACCAGGCTGAACTGGTTCAAAGCCCTGAACTTAAGGAAATTCTTGTCATCTTTTTACTTTAATTCAACACACATTTATATGCTTCAGACACACTGTGAGCTCTTTGTCTCAGAATAAGTTTTCTTAGTCAAGAAATGGTCCTTCTCTCATTTTTATTTATTGTGCAACCATCTATTTAAAATTCTTCTTTACATAAAATCTTCTTATAAGTTGCCCACGGTCTTATACTCTAACATAATTTTGTTTCACTCATCCACATATAGGAGCTCTGGTAGCATAGTGCCTAAGGCACTTGACTGCTAACCAGAAGGCTGGCAGTTCAAACCCACCAGCCACTCCTCAGAATGAAGGTTGGGCAATCTACTTCCATAGTGATATCGCCTCGGACACCCAAGGAGGGGTCGCTATGAGTCGGGTCTGACTCGACGGCACGAAACAACAACAACAACATCCACATATGTACATACTTTTTACATAGTCATAATACTGATAGACTCTTTTGTAACCAGATAGCCCTGAAATAACCTTTGTGACCAAAAACTCACAGAGAACAAATAAGTCCAACCACAGTGTTTTTAGTCCTGTAATTAATGATCTTACTTTTAATGCCTCTTATTTAATATCCTATGGGACTAGCATGTGACTATGATGAGAAACCACTTTGCTGTTGGTGGGAATCACCCAAGACCTAAGAATGTTCCTACAAGGGTAGCCTTAAACATATGTTCATAATTTATGAGACTGAATCAAATATTTTGGGTTGAGGGGGTGGGACGGGAGAGTGTGTTTGTTTTTAATCTAGAAATTCATGTGTATTTAGAAAAAAAAGTCCTTCCTAAATAAAGCTTTTGCTCTTTGGAGCCCTTGGGATTAGTAATGGGTAGAGAGAAGGGGAGGAAGTTAGGTTTAAGGGACCCATCTCAAGTGGCACTGCCCTTAGGATTAGGAAACAGGTTGGTGCCTGCCCTGGCTCTGCCTGTAAACTCCATTCACACTGACTAAAACTGCTGATCGAATCGATTCCTGCATCTTCACTGCCACAGAGTTAGATGCCTTCCTTAAGCTTGCCCAGAGTGCTCAATTAGTTGCCGGGTTTCCCTTATTATTCCAGCCATCAGCCCCATCATTTCGATTCCTACAAACCCAATGCTTGTTAAAGCCCTTGACAATGGCTGCTGACACTTGACTGGGCTCCCTATTGACTACATATCACCACCCCACCCATCCTTCATGAATTCCATAACATAATCAAGTCTTTGGTAAAAATTCAAATCAGGCAATCTGCTTCCATAGAGATACTGCCTCGGCAACCCAAGGAGGGGTCGCTATGAGTCGGGGCCAACTCGATGGCAAATAACAACAACAACAACAGCTCTCTTATACGTGGTTCTGTCATAATATCCCCTAACTTGGAGCCCTCTGCTCTAGCTCGATCCGTTTAGTAGCTGACCCTTGGTTTTTATTGGGTTCATTCCTTGCTTGCTGCCTAAGCACCCCAATCTCCTTCCCTGTAAGCCTATCATGCTATATATGAGGGCTATTTATAATGTGTTCCTAAGAAATATTTGGTGAATATTGATGAAAATGGACCACTGAACTCAAAAGTAATAAATGATTTTGTAAGCTAGCAACAGACTGTTTTAAATGTAATCATTGTCCTTAGTCATTGACCATTTCAGTTCCAACAGAGAGCCTGGGAGCCTTAGTGACACAGTGGTTAAAAAAATGCTTGCTGCTAACTGAAAGGTTGGTGTTCAAACCCACCAATAGGAGAATTCTGTAACAATTACAGCCTTGGAAATCCTATGGGGCTAACCCTATGACAGACTAAAATTGTCTGTCATAGGGTTAGGGTCACTATGAGCCAGAATCAACTCAACAGCAGTGGGTTTGGTGCTTGGTTTTGGAAACACTATGGGCAGTTCTACCCTGGCTCTAGGATCACTAGAGTTGTAATCGACTTGATGGCACTAGCTTTTTCGGTTTTTGTTTTGTTTTATTTTATGAGCTTTTCTTTAAGGAACCCTGGTGGCACAATGGTTATGTGCTTGCCTGCTAACTGAATATTAGTTTGAAGCTACCCAGTGGCTCCATGGGAAAAAGACCTGATGATTTGCTCTTTTAAAGATGACTGCCTAGCAAATACTATGGAGCAGTTCTACTCTCCCATGGGGTCACTGTGAGTCAAAATCAACTTGATGGCACACAACAACATGATCTTTGAAAGGAGTACTTGGGTGGCATAAATAGTTACATGCTTAATGATTGGTGGTTCAAACTCACCCATAGAGGCCTTGGAAGAAAGGCCTGGCAATCTGTTTGCAAAAAGTCATAGCCGTGAAAACTCTCTGAAGCAGTTAGTTCTACTCTGCACACGTGGGTTCACCAAGAGTGATACTCAACTCGACATCCACTAACAATAACAATATTACCTTAGAAAAGTTACTTTTCCTGTTTTTTTTCACTTATAGAATGGAGTAATAAGGAATTACCATGGTTTACAGACATGTACCTTATAAAAAGCAAATACTTCAGAACTGTTTGTTTATTTTGTTGTTCAAAAGACTTCTCAAAAAGATTTCTCTTTTTTCTCAGTCCCAGAACGAGCTTCCTGGAACCCATGACCCATGAAGTCTTGTCAACATTCATACCTTCTAAGGGTAGCTGCAATGAATTAGAAGAAGCAGGTAAGGCTTTCCACTCACAGTCTAATATTTCTGGCTTACTTGGGTCAACTATTTTCTCACATTTTGTGTCACCTCTTATTTCCTCATCCTTTAATATTGGAAGAGTACAATTTTGAGTGGAATGTAGGCTAAACTTCAGGTTGGTTCTAGGTAGGCTCGGGTACTCTTTTGGTCCCTGGATGGTATAAACAGTTAACGCACTCTTTAAAAAGTTGGTGATTCATGTCCACTTGGAAGAACCTTGGGCCAAAGACCTGGCAATGTATTTCTGAAAAATGAGCCTTTGAAAGCCCCATGGAGCAGTCTACTGTGACATGCATGAGGTTGTCATGAGTCAGAGTCAACTTCATGGTAATCGGTAAATTCTTTTAGTCTAAGCCTGTGGTGGCTTCACTCCCATGAGATGGTGATGTGAATACTCCTTATCCTGAGGCAAACTCTGGCAGGCCTGTTAGACACAAACCATATACTATAGGATTTAGACTCTAAGTCAGCTGTGGAAAAGTTCTAGCTTAGTTTTGGGTGAGGAAAGCCCCATGTTTATTTCTCTGTCAGTGGTATTACAGATAATGCCTTGTGGTCTGATGTACTGGGCAGTGTTTATCTCACAAAAACCAAAGGGATTCCACTTTTTTCAATCTTCTGAGATAAAGTGGGGAAATAATTTTCTCTTTTCCTGATGGTGAATTTGGTCTTATCTTCAAAGAATGTCTTTGATGTTTGGACAGTAAGAGGAAATTGTAACAGAAAGATGATAGGCAATAAGGTACTGTCAACCTAATTTAATTGCCAGAGAAAACATTGAAGAAAGTCTCAACTGGTTCTCTTGTTAGCAATGAGAAAGTGCATAATCTGGATAAAGTGAGTAGGATTAAAGAAAAAATAACCCAAAAGGAACTGAGCAGCAGAAAGAAGGCAAAGGAATGTTGATTCTTCTCCAAAATGAATTTGGACAGTATTGGACAAGGTGGAGGTGATAAAGTGTGTATAAGATGGAGCCTTCATCCCTTCAACAAGCTTTTACAAGGATTTGTATGTGCCTGGCATCACCATGTGGGCTGGCAGGGATCAATATCAGACTCCATGCCATCCAGAATTCCATTACTGAGGGGAAAGGAAATGGAAAACACTATTCAAACTCTAGGAGCTCTGGTGGCGTAGTGCCTAAGGCATTTGACTGCTAACCAGAAAGGTGGTGGTTCAAACCCACCAGCCACTCCTTAGAAGGAAGACTGGGCAATCTACTTCCATAGAGATACTGCCTTGGAAACCCAAGGAGGGGTCACTATGAGTCGGAACCGACTCGACAGCAGTGAGTTTTGAGTGAGTTCAAACTCTAGTGCTAAAGTACTTGAACTGGGTCCATCAAGAAAGACTTCTTGAGAGAAGAGAGTCAAAATCTCAGGCCGAGTCTTAAAGGAAGAGAGGGGACTGGCAGGACTTAAATGTCCTTTTACTAATGCCTGTAGGTTTTTCCTCATTCTTGCCATGAAAACTCACTTTTCCTCAGTGAACAGTAAACTAAAGCAGCTGTAGTTGAGTTGACCTGACTCACAGTGACTCTATACATGTCAGAGTAGAACTCCATAGCATTTTCATGGCAGTGACCTTTTGGAAGCAGATCAGTAGGCCTTTCTTCTGAGGTACCTCTGGGTAGGTTCGAACTGCCAACCTTTCAGTTAGGAGTCAAGCGCTTAACTGTTTATACCACTCAGAGACTCTGCTCAGTGGATGTAGGCTTAAGTATTCTTGAGACTTCAGATATTAAGATCAGAGTGGTTTTTAAATTTTGTTGTTGTTGTTATGTGCCGTCGAGTCAAACCTGACTCATAGCGACCCCTCCTTGGGTTTCCGAGGCAGTATCACTACGGAAGTAGGATTGCCCAACCTTCCTTCCGAGGAGTGGCTGGTGGGTTTGAACCGCCAGCCGTCTGGTTAGCAGGCAAGTGTCTTAGCCACTATGCCACCAGAGCTTTAAATTTTAGGAAAGTTAAAACCTGGAATATTTACACTGAATGCAGAATCTCAGAAATCTAGGTCTTAGACATGTATCTAACTCCAGTTACTGAATTACTTTTGTGGGGAGGAGAAAGAAAAATACATGATTTTCCCCTGCTCCACTATCTCATCCATGTCAAATTTTAGTTGAGAATCCTCAAAACACGACTTGACTTCACCTTTTTACCTTTCAATTCTGTTTGCCCTTTGTTCTCCTCCTGCCTGCCATCACTGTGAAATCATTCCCAGAGTGCCAACAAGGCGATACTTATTTTAGGGACAAAGAAGAGTCTCTGGGCTCTCCAGTTGCCCAGGAACCTTGGCTGCTGGAGATGTAAATCCCACCCAGGATGGGAGCTACAGGTAAAGTGAGAGGGAAGGGATGCTGAGATGCACTTGGACACTCTTGAGGAGAGATCTCCCTCGCCTTCCCTGGCCCTGCCAATATTTTTCCAGATTAGTCCCAGCCAAATGCCTTTACTAGTCTGAATTTACCTAACCTTACAATGCCAGCAGGTTTATTAGGTGTGGGTCATAGTTAATTGGAGAGGAAAATTGGGGGTTCTGGGTTTATTAGTTTTCTATGAAAGCAGAGGCTGCTCTTAATTATTTCACAAATCATCTCGACTCTCTTTCTCTTTCTGTCTAATGAATATCATCCCACAGTAATGTTATGGTAGTTCTTCCTTTCTGCACTGCTGGGTCCAAGTGAGAGGCATTCAATAATGCAACCAGTTAGCTGAGCACCCTCTTTTGCAAGTAAAACCACATAAAGTAATGGAAATGCACTGCTGTTTACCTCTGCCAATATGAATGGATGTTTTGTAGTAAAGGAGTTGTACAAGAACCTGCTGTATTACAGCCAAGAGTTCGATTCTAATGAATCTTCCAATTTATGTGCCTTTAAAACAATCACCTGCACCCCTCCATTGATAGCTTTGGTGGTCTGCCGTCTGTGGAGGCAGAGCCAGGTCCAGGTGAAAGCCACAGTCAGATGCTTTCATTCTGTAGCCCTCTGTTGTAGAGATTGAGGCTGAGTGGTTTGGCCTGGCTTGAGCCTCTCTGGACTGTGGCAGTTTGCCAGCAGGTTTCACTGGGTGGTCTTTGACAATAGGAGCAAGGAGGGGAGGGGGAGCTCGGCTTTCCTCCCCCAACAGGAACAACAAGGTGGCTTTCTATAGGTGGGTTTCACATCAGCAACCAATCCCCTTGTCACTGGAACACCATAAAGGTCTTGAGTGTGGGTGGAAAGAATTGAACAGGTTGCCTGAAGGCCGTATTGTGTTAGAGTTAATTTTTTTTCCTCTGATTTTACCATGAAGCTGAGTGTTTATGTGCTGAGCCTCCCTCCCAAGAGGGTGAGCACACACAAGCAGCAGGCACCCTTCATCATGTGAAGGGAGTATTATTATTCTCACTCGTCAGGCACAGAAGCAAACCTCATGGCTAGCCTCTCAACCCACCACTCAGGGAATTCACAGTAGAATGCAAGGCAGGCTGGCCAAGATTGACAGTCTTAGTCCAAGAGGCAGCACTGCCTTGCCTCTGCTGGTTCTTCCAGCTGGTGAAGAGAATAACAACAACAACAACAACTGCCATGTAGTGAGCACCTGCTGTGCACCAGCATGGCACTAAACACTACAGGTATTAACCCATCAATCTCCCAGCAGCCATGTGAAGATATACATTAAATCCTATTCTGCAGTAAAGGGGAATAGAGTTTAAATAATTGTAGTGACTTGTTCTGGGTCTCACAGCTGCTAAGTGGCAGAGTCAAAATTTCATTGCTAGTCTTTCTGGCTGTAAAACTTTGGCTTTGGGTGAGTGGGGGAAGGGGGAGCCCAGACAATCCTTCCCTTCAAAGGATAGCCCCTTAACTTGGGAGAACTGTTTCTTTTATAACTAACAAAGTGTAAGAGACTGGGAATGGGGATATTATGAGACTGGCCTTAAAACCAAAAACCCAACCCACTGCAATTGAGTCAATGCTGACTCATAGTGACCCTATGGGACAGAGTAGAACTGTCCCACTGGGTTTCCAAGGCTGTAAATCTTTAAAGAAGTAAACAGCCTCATTTTTCTTATGCAGAGCAGCTAGTGGGTTTCAACTACCAACCTTTTGGATACTGGCCGTAATGTACGAGAATTTAAAACTGAGACCTTCCGATTTTGAATGGGTCAGCAGCAGCAGCAGCACGAGGGAAACCAGTCTTTGTTCTGCGTAGGCAGTGGTAAGAGCTGCTTCTGTTTTGGCTCTTATCTCACACATGTTTCTTGCCTGTTTTTTCCTGGACATCATCTGAATCAGCTGTCCTCAATCTCTGCTTCCACTGTAGCTGACCGTTGAATCCATTTCCTCCTAGAATCTCTGCATGTCTAATCAAACAAGTCATCTGTGCCCATGGTGGGAGTGGAGGGGGAGAAGGTGTTTGGCCCAGCAGATGCCAGAAGTGGCAGCTTGCACAGAAGAATACCCTGGGGAAGGAAGTAGCAGCTTTGACAGACAGGTAACTGACAAGAGATGGTCCCTTCCAGGCAAATATTCGTAGGGCAGCCAGCAAAAAGAATTCGACAGGCAGTTACATGCAGAAGAGCAAACAGACTTCTTACTCACTTGGGAGCTCTGGTGGTGTAGTGCCTAAGGCATTTGACCGCTAACCGGAAGGCTGGCCGTTCAAACCCACCAGCCACTCTTCCGAAGGAAGATTGGGCACTCTACTTCCACAGAGATACCACCTTGGAAACCCCAGGAGGGGACCCAGATCTGTCTGGGGAGGACTTGTAGTTATCTTGTTTCTTATTGTTATTATCATTATTATTTTAATGAACATGGAAAGCCTGGAGCCAAGGAGTTCTGGGTTAAGAGGGACACAAGACACCTGGTTTTGTTATTGTTGTTCATAGTTGTCCTTGAGTTGGCCCCTGACTCCTGGCGACCCCATGCACAATAGAATGAAACACTTCTCAGTTCTGTGCCATCCCCATGTGTGGTATTGTGATCC